GAAACCATGATGAACACTAAAGTATTGTTTTGCGAAATAAATAATTGACATATTATATACAAAAAATATACTAAATTGTAGGGTAAGGCCATTAATTTAACGTTTTTTACTGAGTAAAGCAAATAAATTATCTCAAAATAAATCTCTCGCACGTGAGTAGGAGTTATTCAAAATTGAATTAAATCATAATGTATTCAAATGTATATTTATATTAAATATTTGGGTTTTTAATAAACATGAATTCTATGAAAAATTCAATTTTAAAATTAAATTCTTGGAAAGAGTTATATAACTTTCCATTAGTAACTCCCTTTTGTGTTATTTTCTGTGTATTTACTAATATTTAAGTAAATTATGCCTTTCATATTAATGCCAATAATTTAAGTTAATATATAAATTGAAAACATTTAATCAAATTATTATTCTCCAGAATATAACCCAAATTCTTGGATCAAAAGCAAAGAAAACGCCGAATATATTGAGAGCACCTGATGTCCAGCCATTGAATTACAAATATAATACTAATACTTAACTTATAATTAGATTTATTACTACAACTTTTCCAACAAAGAATGGGTTTTATATTTAATAAAATATTCTGATAGAAATGAGCGCTACTTTTATATAAGCTATAATACATTTAAATGAATGCGGTTTCCATTAAAATAATTCAAAATTAATATTTGTGAATATTAATGATCCAATATACTGTATATGTTATATTGTGTGTGTTGTATATGTTGTGTATTGACTGTCATGAGGACATGTATATAACGAGTCAAACCCCTATGGGATTACGTCTATTCATAAATACATAGATTTTGATTATCGTTATGCTTATAAAAGATTTATATATAAGAGACAGGTACAATATACACAACATAATATGATAAATGGTCAAAATATTCTAAATTTATTGAATATCATTTATAATTTAATTATAAATCTAAATATATCGCAAATAAATGTTAATAACGAAATTAAGAATTTAAAATTAATTTCCGTTACATGAATCTTGGTAAATCTTAGTAAAATAACGAGATCAACTTAATTAAAAAATGAAGCAAATTTATTTATTTAGTATTAAAATATTCAACAACAAAAATAAAAAGGGTTAAAATAAGATTTGAAAACAAATGTGTACTGGTTGACACAACTAAATCCCATTTGTAATTAACTAATAGGCATGAGTTTTGTGTGTCATTTCTTTCTTAACGAATTCATAATTAAAAGTATCTCTAAATTTATGTTATAACTTAATTAAAAACAAAACTCAAGTCTAAATAAGTTTATGTAATATAAAAAGTAGTTTTAATTTATTGGAATACTTTTTAAGTTAACTTAACAAGGTTTAATTGGCAATATAGAGGGAAAAATAAGTTAATATAAAATTTATTAAACTTTATGTTTAAATGTTTAATTGAATTATTTATAAATTTTGTAGTTTTAGTTTAGAGTTGAATTGAAAACATAATTTTTAGTATAAATTTATAATGAGTTTACTAGTAGTACTTTAAATTTCATAATTAAATTATTATAATTTATACGTTTAATTAATAATATATAAACATTAATTATCATCCAGAAGTTTTAATATTTTATTCATACATTTATTAAATTAATAAAATAATTTAATTTGTATTAAAAGTTTAAATAAAAATAACTTTACATTATCAAATATCCATAAATTAGAGATCAAATAAACATTAATAAAGTTATTTTCATTAAAAATAAAAGCATTAATATTTTACTTTTCGTTTTATTTAATTTTAATTAATTAACATTCATTTATAATAAATAGATTTTGTTTGTATTTACTCGATTAATAAATAATGATAATAACATAATTGGATGCAAACATATATACATTTATCGCTAGATTTAAATGTAATTAATAATTGATCCAAAATTAATTGAATGAAAGTTTATTTTTGTGTTTTGCCATCAATTGGATTACAGATACGAATGATTTGAATGAACGCAACAGTTATTACTTAATGAGAAAACATGACAAATACCTATTGAATCACATTTCCGTATTCAATAGTTTCATGTATGTCTTAGAGACTGACAGTAAATAAATGACCCAGGGATAAAGTATTCTCCCATTTAATCCAAACCACTATTACAGTCACACAAAGAAAACGATAAAAAAATCTATTATTTTGGTCTAAGATTTCGAAACAAGTATTATTTGTTTTTGTAATAAATTTCAAAAACAAAACATTCTTATGTATTTATATAAATAAATGTATGTTATTTATATTTCGATATTCCTAGGCAATTACATCGATTTTAAAGTAATAAATTATATATTATTAAACTTTTTCGAAATAAATAATGCAATTTTAATGCAAATACTGTGTGCTTAATAATGTTATATTAATATGATTGAGTGGTTTAATGTTTATATATATAACTAAAAATAAAAAGTAAGTAATATTAAATGAGATAAATGTAGAAAACGTCAAAATGTGACTTTCATCTCAAACACCTAAACGTAAGTCTAATGAGATATTTATTAATTAAAACATTGTTCGGACTCTAAATGCATTCACACATAGACCGCAATATAGCGATGCAGTGAAGTGTCATTTAAGATGCAAACCATTGAAATGATTGTAAACATAAAACAACGAATTGTATAAATGATATTGACATCACAACAGTAGTCCGACTATTGGTATCGTATGATTCACACCCTTCACTCATTAGATGAATACATGGTTTCAATATAAATACCACACAATCTTGTGATGGAGTATTTTGGGTGAAATTCAGTAGAAATAGGTATTAGATATGTCACATATATATATATTTAGATATTTTGACATTCATTTTGATACTTTAATCCTCTCGCAAAATATTTTCCAACTTTTCAAAAAATTACAAAACAATGAAATGTATGAATAATTAAACAAAAATTCATTTTATTAAACAAATGAATTCAAATAATATGTAGGAATGTGAGCCTTAATTGCATTTATTTTATTCTTTTTGGAAAATATTAAATGAAATGAAAAACAAACAAAAATTTAATAAATATTAAACTCACATGACTTTTATGTTTTTTTTAATATGATTCAATTTAATTTATTTTTTTCAATTAAAACAACATACAACTAATTTTAAGTCCTAAATCCAAAACTAATTTGTAATAAAGTTATAGTTTTTGCAAAAGAATGACAAATGACTCAAAAAAGCATTTATTTTAAAGTTTGAGACAAAAGATAAACAATTTTTGATTGTTTCGTACACTTTGGGACGAGAAATGGTTTATATTATAGAGTATGTGATGATTACAGTGAATGGAAAGGGATGAGAGACAAGTGCCATAATTTATCATTAAAGTGAGATTGATTTGCGTCTATACTTTGTTGAACATGTGATGGTCGACCCGTTCAACGACTCAATGCCTTTATAGCCCACACTCTGTAGTTATGGCTCTGATATACACTATATTTCTTAACTTTTATTATTATTATAGGGTATAAGAGGACAGACATTGTTCGAGAGGTTGTCTCAGCCTTTATCGACATTAACCCAAAAGTGCAAATACATGTCATTGTAATCATTCAAAACATATGATAAGTTTTGTATATTTTTTGTTGTTTTTATTAAATCACTTCAAATATTCATAAGTATTTAATACAAACTAATATTTTAACCAAAATGTCATACATTATAAAAGTGTGACTTAAAAGTATCAAAAATACTTAAATTAAGAAATGGTTAGGTATTAATATAAATTTAAATATTTCAAATAGCTTATAAAAATTATGTTCATTAGAAGATACAAGATGAAATACTGTAACAATTAATTACATTTAGAGTTTGTCTCAATAAAATTGATGCATTCAGTACTGGTATATGCATCAAAAGGTTGCCTACCTTTTAAACTACAATATCTGTCATATTATGAGATCTCAATTGAAAATACCGTAAAATCGATTGAGTCATAGATATAGAAAATTAAGAGGACATCAGTTTTTGGTCTAACATATTGAAGCCTGAATTGAGTTCACATTTTGGTTGCATTTCATCAATCATTGACAGTAATGTCTTGAGGATGGCTTCAATGCCTCACTAAACAAAAAGTGCCCCAAAAATGAGTATTAGATGACTCTTACCATTACGTAAAGTGAGAAAACCATAGGAATGGTAACGAATAAATCAGCGAAAGCCAGACTCACTATAAACCAATTGGTGACCGTTTGTAGGGTTCGCTCTCTATAAACACTACAGTTTTAATGGAAAGACAACAAAAACACATTTCAAACCCGATTCTCAAATTTTCTATTCAACTATTTTGTGTTTTTCAATAACAATACCTCAATATAACGAGAATATTGCCAAAAAGCGCCAGAATTGGAAGAATGACTAAGAATAGGGCCCAATAGACTCGGTCTGGTCGGGGAGTGGTAGGCAAGACAGTGGAGTTATCGGCGCCCGTAATGTTACCCCAAATGCACTCATTTGAGGCCAACTCTGATGGCGAGCACAGGAATGTGTCGTTTGTAATGTCCGTCAAGTTGTCGATCACTCTTTTGGTAATGTGAGACACGTTTGCCGCCAGAGATCCACTCATATTGTCATTATCTTTGAGTTTAGGGCCGTCTTTAATGGCCACAAACTGATCACTCAATAGACTACTAATCAAACGCTGAAACGCCGGCTCCTTTCGCCCACTCGTGTCCGACAATGAATTTTGTCCGCTATTTGTGTTCAATACTTGATTTGAATGTTTCTCATAACTGTTTGCATCCTTTAATGAGTCCAAGAGTTGCGAGTTTTCATTGTCGGGCTGTCGGTGTAGTGCCTGCGGAGGGACAGCCAAACCATTTTCGTTGGTCCAGAAGGCGAGCGTGACGTTTATGAACGAACTGCCCGTCAGATCCATGTTGTCCTCCATTTCCATTGTATTTCTCTCACAACTATTTACCGCACAATTGATTCTCACGGTTTGCCTCTTCTATATACAGATGCCTTCACTCCCAGTCCACACCAATTCATACCTATATATTGAGTGATCAATTAATACTAAATTAATTATAATTATTTTGCTTAACTTATTTTTATTCCTAAAACGTTAAAATTATAATTAATTATACATGAACTTAGTTTGAAAACAGATTAAATATTAATTTTAAGTAAATAAATAACATATGAAGAAACTTGATGCCAAACAATAAGCAAATATTAAATGGTTACAAAAGTGGAGTAATATTGTGGACAGAATCTGACAAAAGATCGATAAAATATAAAAATAAGAATTGATTTATTTATATGAATTGGTGACACAAATATACATAAATCAAAGTAGAAGTGGTCATGACTTTGACTTTCACTCTTTCAAGTCAAACAACAGTTTGTAATTATTTAAGAGACAATTCATTTATCAAACCATATGTTGTACTAACATTACATAATAGAAATAAATGAATTGAATAGAAAATCAAATATAAAATAAAGTAAACATAGTTAAATAAAAGAAAAACCCGGATATCATGACTTCAATGAAACGTTGAGAATAACTTATTTGAAGATCAATTCATGTATTTTAGTATTTTTAGACACATTATTACTAAACTTTATAACTTTCGTTTAAATACAGTAGTTGAAAATTTTTAAAAGATTGGTAATTGATATGAAAGCAATTCATCAAGCATCATCAGTTTTCTATCTTTTGATGGAGTAATCATCAAATCTTGAAATGAGGTTTTTTTCTCAATTCATTTATTGAATAACTGATACAATGAGGTATAAAGTGTTGCGAACGATGCCGTATAATAAAAGCTACAGAATTTAATTCAACAAAACTTTTTAAAAATATTGTATCATTTCCATTCTATAATGTAATTTGTTTTGAATTCCTTATGATTTAACAAATAATAGAAAGAATTTGTCAAACAATTGATTTATTGATGAATGTCTGTGCGGAATGTATTATAATTTAAGTCACGCGCAAAATGTCATCAAATTTTTCGGATCTATTTCTAAAAAAGACAAAAGATTTATATATAAATTTGAAATAAATTTTGATTTATCTTCAAATCGTGTCGGGAATTGTTTAGAGCACATGACAGGAGTTGTCTTGTCTTGTCTGTTGTGAAACTCATACTTCCCTTTAATCTTAGTTTTAAAGAAATGCTAACATAAAAAATGAAA